CGAGAGCTGCCATATGGCATGTGTGAGCTTTGACTTTTGAGAGATTGAAATTATCTTTCTCGTTCCGCAGCAGATCTTTTTTTCTGTAGTGGGTGCTTCGTGCTTCAGCAGGACTTGCTCTGCGTTAGATGGAATTTGATGATAGCTTCCATCATGTGATTCAGCTTCTCAGTTGAGAGATGTGACATCGTTCCCTTAGTGTATTTGAAACTTAGCTTTGATAGATGCTAAGTGAGATCCTCCTTTGGCAAGTGTGTCGAAGTCGAGTGATTTACTGCTTTGCAGAAGAGTATCCACCATTCTCTTGACTTGTAGTCGAGTAGAGGCATGATAGAGTGGTTTTGCTGAGAAATACGCTTTAGATACCTCATCCAAGATCTTAGCGCCGCTATGGATCGCGACTATCGCAGCCCCTTATGCTTGATGGCATGACAGAGGTTCGTCATGGGTTTGGACTCTTTGTTCACTAGATTCTGCTGTAAGATGTTCACTGCCACCCATTGATTGAGAAGAGCGTCGACTTCTACAGCAGAAAATTGGAGTAGCGGAGTTGGATTTTTCGCTGCAACTAGGATCTGATGCCCTTGCAGCTTCTCACTTCTGGCAGGATTGTGAATTTGAAAATTTCACTGACTATGTTGTTCTCCTTGCTGCATCGAGAAGTTTTGTGAACTGGCCTATGCCCAAGTTCTCCAGCACAGCACGAAAATCTGGTAGCATATGGTGGATGTAAATCTCCACTAGCATAGATTCTGGATTTTCTTTATAGCAGTCAAGAGAGAGGTCTCGGAACCTCTTTACAAAGTCGACAAGGCCTTCAGATGGCCTTTGGTTGGTATTCTGGAGTTGAAGGAGAGTGATTCTCTTTTCACTTTGGAAGTATTTCCTGCAGAACTTCTCTGCCATTATTCCCATGAGTTGATAGATTCGGGACCCAAGGTGGTATACCAGGTATAAGCACGTCTAGTGATAGATTTAGAGAACTCTCGGAGGCAAAGTTCTGTGTTCATGGAGTGAGGACTCATAGCATGAAGGAACTTGCCAACGTGCTCAACAGCATTGCCCTTCCTGCTGTCGTACTATAGAAAGGTAGGAGCTTCATAGTTCAGCGGATATGGCTTATCCACCAGGTACTTTGGGTAAGGTGGATCCTTCATGAAAATAAAAGAAGAGCGTGAGAGTTTCGCCTTTTCCTTCTCCAGCAGGGTGGTGAGATCAGAAAGAGTATCGTAGCCTTGGGAAGGCTCATTCTGTTGTTGTGTCTCTATGGTTGTTTCTTGCTGGAATATCATCACCACCAGGTGGAGTGGGCCGTCTTCTTCCATCATGGGACTGGCCTTCGTTAGTGGTGCGGGGCCTAGCCTCTCGAATCGCTTCGAGCAACTCGAGTTGGCTTTGGTAGACGCCACGGGCTAGTTCCACCACGATTTCAGCAGTGTTTGGTGGATCTTGCTCATGTGCAGCTGAGTTCTCCTGCTGCTGGTTTGAAGACTCTTTCTGCTCCTCATGTATATATTCTGGTTGTTCTTTCGGACAGCTCTTGGTCGTGCTATCTCGCTTGATTTTTGACCTTTTGAAGGCTCCCTAGTGGAGTCGCTTAAAAATGTGGGAGCCTTTTTTGTTTGATTGAAAGGCCTGGTGCGACTCACTATGGATTCAAGCCTAGCCCAAATTTCCCCAGAAGAGGAGTTGGGTTTCATAAGATGGAGCCCCAAAAGTTGTAAGAAAAACCCTCTGCCAAGGAGTGATCCGTACAGCAGGAAGAAAACAGTCCGTACAGCAGGAGGAAAGTAAATTCAACTTTTAAAGGGAAAGAACTGTGAAGGATGAGAAATAAAGAACAAGAACAGAAAAACGTATTTTTCTGGTATAAAATAGATCCAAAACTTCTTATTGATTTCCAAACTTGTGGGTAACAAATTGAAAGTGGGATTTGGGAGAAAGAAGAAGGAATACAGTGAGAGCAATGGAATCAAACTACAAAATAGTGACAATGGAGGAGAACGCTGATTTGGGGAAGAACGAGACTAATCTCTTGACTGATTGAGTGGGTGATGAACGATTAGGGTTTTTGAACTTTTTATGAAGTATTTTTGTGGGCATGAGAGAACTTGGCTCTTATGCTATCTGATGCCATTTCCGCTGCTGATGGCCTCCTTTTATAGCTTTCTTTTTGCCCCATCAGAATCCTTGTCTGGTGACCCACTTTGGCTCTTGCTTTTTGATTGATTCAGTGAGTAGCTCTTGGATTTATGGCAAATAACCTTCCGATTTGAGGAAGCTAACAATGGCCACTTTCTCATCTTGAAATCAATCCCCTGTTCTAGCAAGCACACATCGCCATCGTTGATGCTACCTTTCCATCAGATCAGTTGACGCTCCTCCTAAGGTCAAACTAGCTTGCTTTTGATTCCATGTTCTGCAGCCCCTTGATTACCCCTTTTGCGTTAAGGATCGACTCGCAGGCATAGCCGCCTCCCCAAGAGTGGTAATCATGGAAGATTCCTTCCTCTTTTGCCTCCAAGCCACAGCTCCCAGTTTGTTTCCCGCCGTGGGCTTGGTCCACGATTAGTCCTGCAATAAAGATTAATTAGCACTAATCTCTTGCCATAAGTAGATAAATATAAGGAAGTTTGAATTAAGTAGAATTCTTCCCTTAGATGCTTTCCGCAGTAGGAAATTCTGACATGTTGCAGCAAGAGACTTGGATTTTGTGCTTTTGTCTTCATACCTTTGGCTAGCTGGTGAGGTGGCAAGTCCCCAAGGTTTTAGGGCCTTTATGGGCTTGGAAGAGAGTAGTGAGATAGCAAGGTCCTGTTGGGCCATCTGTGGCTTTTGTGTTTTGGGCTCCTTGCTTTGAGAGAAGTGCGGCCCAACTCCAATTGCATTCTTGGGCCTCCGGACTTTGTAGTAATAACAAGGTGACATGGCCCAATGTGTTATATGTTTATGGGCCATGGCCTTGGGATAATAGTAATATGGTGTCAAGGCCCAATAAGCTATATATATGCTTTGGGTCCTTGCCATAATAATAGATAATTGCACCTGAATTATATATGTGTTTGGGTACTTTGATATAGATGCCTCTGTGTTATAAATGTGCTTGAGGACTTTTAGAGAGAATTGCCCCTGTGTTATAAATGTGTTTGGGAATTTTGGTATGAATGCCTCTGTGTTATAAATGTGCTTGAGGACTTTTGAAGAGAATATTGCCCTTGTGTTATAGTTGTGTTTAGGGACTTTGGGGAGAGAGAAATGCCCTTAGGGATATAAGAGATATAAATATGAGGGGATAGATGACCCAACCTTTAGTATGCTTGGTGGGCTTTTGTGGGCCTTAAATCATCCCCATTTTGACCCCTAACAATCTCTAAATTTAAATTAAATTCCTAAGAAAGTGTTTTAAATTGTTTGGTTGGTTTGTTATTTTCCAATGAAAATAGAGTTAAATTTATTAAAATACCTTTAATGAATATTCAAAATTTTAAAACAAGACCCTTTTAAGTAATTTTGTCCCAAAACTACTTTCATTAGAAAAGTGAGAAAGTGCTTTAACACCTCCCTGGTGTTAAAGCACTTTCTCATTTTGGAGAGAAACTATTTGAGTCAGTTAAACTTTCTTACCCTAAACTTTTTCTAAAAAAAATAACCAAACATGCTAAAATTATTTTCTATCCTATACTATCTATAGAAAGTGATTAAATTATATCAAAACAAACGGGTTCTTAGTGTTAGGTCACTAAATCAGACACTTCATTAATGAAAAAAAAAAGTATTGTAGGCTGTCTTTTAATAAGAGTTAATATTTGATACACCGACAGTGTATAGGAGCTATACACTGTCAGGGCAAGAAAATCGTGACACCTCATCAGTGATCAAAATGAAATTTGTTTAGACCCTTTTAAATAAATTTTAATAACTTTTTATTTTTCTTCATAAAAATAATTCTATTACTTATAATTTTCTTCCCCCTTTTTCTCTGGACTGTCGTTCCCCTTTCTCACTCTAGTTTCTGTCGTTCTTTCTCAAACAAAATCAATGACCACTATCTTTTACTCATGCCATCTTTAATCTAAAAAATGAAAATTAATATTATATTTTTAATTAAATAATTCTGTTAGCTTAGATTAACTATCCCATGGCAACACGTTCTGTAATCAATCAATAAATTGTTCATTTTGTGGTCTCGCAAATCAACAGTCCTAATGGTTAGTTAATAGAAATCGGTTATCGGGTTGATTCTTCAAAGTGACAATGAGTAATGGAAGAATGTTGAGAGAAATTCAAAAGCATAGAAACATAAATAATTGAAAGGAGCGGAAAAAGCTAGAGAAATATTAGTGTGATAAACATTCGGGAGAAAGCTAACTAGCAAGAAAATTTCTCAGTCTGACAATACCCATTATAAATATGGAGAAATGTCAAGAAGATTGGTTAGAGGATGAACGACAAAAGATTGAGAGAAAGGGGAGAGAAGAAACTAAGAAGGAAATTGTACTAAAAGGATTTTTATAAAAGAAAAAAAGTTAATGTAATTTATTGAAAAGGGTCCATCAAATTTTTAGTTTGATTTTGATGAGGTGTCAAAATTTCGTGTCCTGACAGTGTATAGAAGCTATACACATAATATTAACTCTTTAGTAAATTCCAATAAATCCCTTACCTCCTGTAACAAATGGAAGTCAGAAGGCCCAACAAGGCCCGCAACCATTTCAAAACAAGGGCCAAATATTCAATTTGGGTCTAAACCTTTTTAAGGTTGCCCAATTCCAGTCTAAACCTTTAAACAGATCAAAATTAGACTCAAAACGTTTGAAAGTTCAACCCATTTGGGCCTAAATCAGACGGAGGTTAAGTTTTGGGCAACACGCGCCCCATTTAGTGCGTAAGCGTAAATTAACTTTTATTTTTTGTTTTTTTCCCTTTTTCTTTATTTTTTTCTTTTCTTCGCTCTTCTTCCTTCCTTCCCCTCTCTGCTCTGAGGTCGTTCAGGGGTCGCCATGGCTGCTTCTTCGACGCATCTAGACGCTGCTGCGCCACTGGTGACTGTGGTGCCTTCCTCATCTGCAATGGCCTCGGTGGTGCGTGAGAGACTTGAACCAGATGTGTCCGGTGGGTTTGCAAGTGAGATCGAGGGATAACAAAAGAGTGGTGGCTTTCTAAAGCACTTGCTTCACTTTCAACCCGCCCAGATATTGCTGCACGTGAAGCTTTGGAAGTCCCCAATCTTGCAAGCCAACAGCATATTCCTAGATTTTCAAAACGGCTTTACATGGAATCTGAAATTTTAATTTTGGTCATTTCGGCATTGAAAATTGGAGCAAATAGTTAACTACTTTTGTATTTTGTATTGCATTTTAGGATTTGAAAAATGAGCCAAATAGTTGTTTTTGTTTTGGGTTGTATTTTGGGATTGAAAATTTTGTTTTTGGATTTGCTATTTTTACAAACTGGAAATTCAGATTTAATCGAATTAGTGATTGCAAGGTCTAATTTGATTATTTGATGATTAAATGGAGATTCGACGAAAGCAATGGCAGTACATGGTAGTGTTGAAACAAGGAAAAAATTGGTTCCCGGTTAAAATTCAAGTTTCTAAGTTTTGTGTTCTTGAGTTCTTTGGAAAATGATCTTTGAGTTCTTAGGAAAATGATAGTTTTGATCCAAAAAATAATGAAAAGAGAGTATTAGAAACGGTTTGGTTAAAAAAACAAAAAAAGAGTGAAATCATTTTTAAATATTTTAGCTTTTATTTTTTAAAATATTTTACTATTATTATTTTAGAGATTAAAGGCCCACATTAAATATGCCATGTCAGCTCGTTAAAAGTTAACTGCGCGTGTGGTAAATATTCTGCTGTCCGTCAGTTTTAGGTCTAAATTGGTTGATTTTGAAAACGTTTAGGCTCAATTTTAATCACTTTGAAGGTTTAGGCTGAAATTGAACAACTCTGTAAAGTTTTAGGCTTTAATTGGATATTTGGCCCAAAACAAGTACTATTTGCATCATTTGAACAAGGCCGGCAAGATTTCATGCTTCTGTTACTGCTCCTCTCTCTGTTTGAATCAAATCAATGTTTAAGACCCTAAAAGCAATCACCACCCTTAGCCTTAATCATCCTTTTTTCATTCCCTTCAAATCATTCTCAACCCATTTCCAACCTTTACGAAAACCCCAACTCAAATCCTTAGTTCTCAACCATTACTCTCATGGAAGTTTCTCCAATCTCCTCCGCCACGTCGTCGCTTCTCCTTCTGTTCTTCTCACCGCCTGCCAAAACCTTTCCAACTCTCCCCATTCAGCTACAGCATCGCTCCTTCACTCTGTTTCCAACCACTTCTCTGTTGACCAAATGGGTCTTGAAATCTCCCAGAACAAGTTCGACATTTCCTCTTGCTGTGTCAAAATGGCCTCGCCCGGTGCTTCAGGTGAGCCTTTGATTTTACCAAACTTGAAACTCAAAGTTTTGATTGAAGCTATTAGGATGGTACTTGAAATTGTTTATGATGAAAGGTTTGTGACGTTTTCTTATGGCGGGCGCGTTGGAATGGGCAGACATACTGCCATTAGGTACTTAAAGAACAGTGTAACCAACCCAAGCTGGTGGTTTAATGTTTCTTTTTGTCCTAGCAAGTTTGAGGAGTTTAATGTTGATAAGTTGTGCTTGTTTCTTGGTGAGAAAATTAAGGATGCTATGCTGATTGATGTGATAAAGAAGTTGTTTGAATGTCAAGTGGTTAGGATTGAATTGGGTGGGTGTTATTTAGGGAGAGGTTTTCCTCAAGAAAGTGGATTGTGTTCTATTTTGATTAATGTTTATTTTGATGGGTTTGATAGAGAAGTTCAAGAACTGAGGCTTCAAATGAATAGGAAGAATCCTAAAATTGAGTTGAATGAGCTTGGTTTGAATAACTCAAATGTTTTCTATAAGCCGGTGAAAATGTATGCAGTTAGGTACTTGGATGAGATATTGGTAATCACGTCTGGCTCAAAAATGTTAATAAAGGAGTTAAGGGACCAAGTTTTGGATTTTTTGGAAGGGAATTTGGGGTTGAAGGTGGATAGAGTGAAAACGGCTATACATAGTGCAGTGTCAGAGAAGATTTTTTTTTTGGGGATAGAATTGCAGGCTGTTCCTCCTTCTGTTTTGCATCCCCCTACGTCAGAGAAGGCAATTAGGGCCAGGAAGAAGTATCTTAGACAGAAGGAAGTTAGAGCTTTAGAATTGAGGAAAGCTCGGGAGAGAAATAGGAGAAAATTGGGTTTGAAGATATGGAGTCATGTCTTTAAGAAGTTGAAGCAGAGTAACAATGGGTTTAAATTTGAATTTCAAATTGAGAATGAAGTCAGAGAAATCTTTAGGACTTGGGGGGATGAAGTAGTCCAAGAGTTCTTTGGGTCACTGGAAGAACGATGGAACTGGCATCGGCTGCTCTCTAGAGGTGATTTTTTATCTTTAAGACATATTAGAGATCAGTTGCCGCAAGATCTTGTTGATGCTTATGACAAATTCCAAGAACAAGTCGACATGCATTTGACACCTTTCAAAGCTAGAAAGGCATTGGAAGAAGAAGAAAGGAGAGTAATAGAAGAAGAGGAACAGAAATATGCTGAGCACACGGTGGAGGATCTGACCAAGCTGTGTATGAAAGTTTCTGCGCCTATAGAACTTGTAAGGAAGGCTGTTAGAATGGCAGGCTTTACGAATAACATGGGTCGTCCCAGGCCAATCAGCCTACTCTTTGCATTGGAAGATACTGACATTATTAAGTGGTATGCTGGTATTGGGAGAAGATGGCTTGATTTCTTCTGCTGTTGTCACAACTTCAAAATGGTGAAAACAGTCGTTTCTTATCACTTAAGATTCTCTTGTATTTTAACATTGGCACATAAGCATGAATCCACCAAATGTGAAGCAATTAAACATTACAGTAAAGATTTGAAAGTGTCTGATATGAATGGAAATGAAGAAGTTTACTTCCCAACAGAGAGGAATGTTAAGATGATGGGTGATAAAAATCTTTCAGACCCAAAACCTGTGGATGGGGCTCTATCTTTGGCTTTGATCAGATTGGCTTCTGATGAGCCATCACATTCTTGTGTTGCGCATTTCTGTGACAGGATTGATACAATCATGTATAGAGTTAGGTTACTGCAAAACAATCTAAATCTGAATCCCCTGGATGAAGCACAGTGGGTCAAGGGTATGGGTGTTATTCATGAAAGTTTGAATCAGAAATGCGTGCCACTCTGTCCTGATCACATAAAAGATTTATACATGGGTAATATCAACCTACAGGACATTGACTGCACGTCATTTGTGGAAGTTGACTAAGTCATGTTTCTTTTGATTTTGGATGTGATCAACACTAATTCTGAAGTTTGCTAAGGATCTGCAAGCAAAGGACATAAGTTGATTTGGAGAAAATAGAATGCCAGAATGAAGCCAAGTAAGTTATCACATCTTATATACATTTTGGTTGATAGATACTCAAGGGTTTAAGCTAAGGCTTCTCTGTCTTGTATTATCTTCAATGAATTCTTATAATTTTGACAGAGAAATTAATTCCAATACAGAAAGTATTATTTTTGGTGATTGATTCTGAGTCTAAAGTTGTTTTTAGGAATTAGCTGGTGGATCTAACATATAGATATGTCTGTAGAATTGATTTGCCCAATAAGATTAAAAGACTTTCATTCTAAATTTTCTTTCGACTTTGAAAAAAAATGTAATGCAGGATTTGTTTTCTTTCTTTTTCTTTCTCATTTTTTTTTAAATTTTTTTTATTGAACCTGGTTGATGGGATTTTGTACCATTATAAGGGTAAATTGGACATGTTTACTTGAGTTTGTTATTGAGGATGGCAACAAGATATGTAGAGAATCAAGTCCAAGATGTCAACACTGTTTCTGAGGTTTCCAGGGTTCAATGGAGTAGGAGAACAGTAAAATGATTGCAAAGTAATGGTGAGACTGTTGAAGTTTATACTGAAGTTGAATCTATAGAGCAGAAGCTATCAGTCAAAACTGATGGTGCCTCAGGTAGTGCACAATATCTCAACATCTATACCAATAGCATTTCTTGCTGTTGCTGTGATTAGTGGAGCTATTTCATCTTTCTTTTACATATTCATTATAGTTTGTTTGTTTAAATAGACTAAAGGTATCTCGATTATTTTGTTTGATCCATGATGTGGCTGGCTGGGAAGCCTTCTCAGAAAAAGAGGATAGTTTCTTCAGATGTCGATAGCAATAATGTTAGTGCAGAAAACAGAGTTACACTTCCTGTTAATCAAAGCGAACCATGGTCTGTTTTTGCCCATAAGAAGCCTCAGAAAGGGTGGATAGCATATAATCCTAAAACCATGAGACCTCCACCTCCTACAGGGAGTACAAAGTTTGTCAAGGTTCTGTCTTGAAATGTCAATGGGCTTAGAGTATTGCTAAAGCTAGAGGGGTTCTCTGCCGGAAAATTTTGATGTTATGTTTGCAGGAGACTAAACTGCAGGCAAGTATCTAGTTTATTTTTTAGCCACAAATATTGTAGTATAGCATAAGTTTCTCTGTTGAGAATTGTAGCTTAAAAATGCTACTCTAGTTTATCATGATTTCTGTATTAATTTGGTACTAGATCACTCTAGTGTGTGATTCTGTACTGCATCTTACTAGACTAACCATCAGGAAATGCGCCTATCATGGACTATTTTGATATATGAATTTGGCATGTTACCTGATTATCCATGGATGATGGACTTATCTAAGAGTTGTAATTTACTTTTATTTTCCTTGATTTTTACATTCTTTCAGACTTCTCTTATGCAACCACGTATGGAAATATCTAGGGTGCAACAAGCCATCTCTTACCCTTTAAAATAGATGGAAATCATTTCAGAATCATGAGAGGCACATGATGCAAGTATTCTATAAAACAGAAATCTTGTTTGGTCTTTGACCTATTTGATATTGGTTTATATAACTGTTATGACAGTATAAGAAGGTTTTTTAGCTTTAATGTTCTGCTTGATGCATCAGGAATTTGTGAATTATATATAAATTGCAGCCTTTGATATTAATGCACCATGATATTTCTGGTTGCCTGTTTCAAATTAGAGCAGCGACTGTGTTTTTTGTAATTTCTTAGTAGTTGTTTGAAATTTCAAAATATAGGACTTCTTATCCAAGGGTTTGGTGGATATCTTTAGAAAGCAGCATCCAGGTGTTGTTCACTATAGTTACTGGGGTTATCGGCATGGTGTGCGCAAAACTAACAAAGGTGTGACATCCTACATTCCAAGTCCACTCCCTACACCATTCTTCATTTGTAAGAGTTCTCTGTGTTAAAACTTTGAAAGCATATTAGATCATTTCAAATGTCCATGAGTTGAGGATCTTTCTGGTGCCTTCATTTTATTTTATTTATACTAGGAATGATCAAATTTTGTTTTGATGTTAAGTAAAAAGATAAGAAAGATTTTTTAGGTAGACTGTAGTCAGCAAGTAAATATCTAGCATTTTTTTTGTAGTATCCTCATATATTTAGTTTAAAGTTTGTATTTTTTGAAACAGGGTTGAGGCTTGACTATTGTCTAGTCTCAGAAGCCATAGCTGATTATGTTCATGATTCATACATTCTCCCTGATGTTCTGGGTAGTGATCACTGCCCTATTGGCCTTATACCAACAAAAGATTCACCAGAATGTCCATGGGATAGCTGCAAATTTTGTTCTCGAACCAAAACCCAACCTGAAACAAGGTTTGGAGGATGGTGGGAGTTAAGAAGTTTGATTTGATCGAGTGGGTCAGTGCTGTACTACTAACTAATTGTTTATACCAACTAATTGTTTATACCATGATTTACACCCAGGGTAATCATGTAATTGCTCAAAATGGATGGCCACGATTTAATCCTCTAAAGTCCTATGGATGGTTGGATTTATTCCACCCTAGGCCAAATTCAACAAGGAAAGAGTTGAATATTGATTTAATTTCCTTAATTACTCCCAAATTACTTATGGAAATTAGGGAAATTATGGAAATTAGGAAATTAAATGAATTTAATGATTTCACACAGCAAGACCGCCCCATTTTACTCCACAAATTGGGATTGACCGGTCTAGGCCATTAAAACCGGATTTGAGCCCTCCCGGGTTAAACTTTTTACAAGTTTTAAATTAAGGACAATGGGATTAGGGTTTTGAAATTGAGGTTGAAGATGAATGAATTTGGCAACATGTCTTTTATTAAAGTTGTTCCAAATATTATGAAGAACACTCTGTCCAAATTTCAGCTCATTCCGAGCCCGGAAAAAAACTTGCATTTTGTGCAATTAAGGACAGAATTCAATCCCGAGACATTTTTTGCATGGCGATTTCACCAATTGGCACAATAACTTGGTTTTCATGCAATATTGATGCTATTTGGAGGAATTTAGCCATGTTTGTCCATTTTCATAACTTTTCACTTTTATTCAATT